TCCCACTTCATTTTATAACTTATACCCAAATGTGAGAATGAGAATGACTATTCCATTCTCACATTAATTTCATTCCATTCCTTTTTCAATTCCATTCTCATTTGAGTCCATTCCCGCGTACCAAACGAGGCGTAATAGTGCTATGTGAGGGGTTAAATAAGAAAAATGCATAGGCGGTTATATTAATACTTGCATGCATATTGACAAACATATACGATGAAGACACTCCTTTAATTTCCTCCTTTGAGATTATAAGATTTGAATGTATTTTAAAATTAAATACACATGAGACTTGGTTGCAATTTACGAGTAAGAATCGCTTGCTTGTACCTTATTATTAGGTTTTATGCATGTGCAATGCACATGTTTAAATATCATGATTAAGTATTTTTGATTATTTTTTTACTAAAATTTATTCATCGGTTCTGCTTTGATGGTTGTAGCTTACTTATGTCTCTAGTGATTATTTATTTTATTTGATGTTTGTTTAAATAGCTACACCCAATTTAAATTTTCTTGTTGAATTGATACAAAATAAATGTGAGCTGAAGCCAAATGGAATTATCATATTATTTAGACCGACATGAAATCAAGCTTGAAATAAGAAAGTATATTATTGCAAAAGTGAAAAACAATTGAAAAATAGCATTATAAAAGGAAGATGAATAATTAAAACTAATAAGACTATGAATGATTAAAAGTGGGCTAAAACGACACAATAGAGAACATGAAGTTTGTTCCTAATTTTTGATAGACTTTAAAAAAAGCATAAATTAAAGATTAAAGTTAACTATAGTACATTTTTATATGATGAAAGCATCCACATAAGTATATAAAAGTATATAAAAAATTCATGAAAATCCCTTCCAATGACTCCTAATTTACTTAAAAAATAAACTATTTTATAAAATATTCAGAAAAAGTGTCTTTCATCTTTCTATTTAATTTTCTATTGAGCCAAGATTAATCCTTCTCTATTTTTATCTTTTTTGATAAAATTAGGCTACATTTAGATGCTGAAAAGGGATAGTAAACCTTAAATTAGAAGTTAAATTTATATATCTTAATGAAAAAATATCAAATAATTACTACTTTATTTACTAATTAGTTTTGAAATTTTAGTGGTTTTATTTTTTTGATTGTATGTTTGGTAAATTTTGAAACTTTAAGAGTGTTTTTTGAAAATTTTAAATTTAAGTTGGGTACTTGTAATTTCCATATTTTTTGTGTTGGTGGTAAGCTTTAGAATGTTAGAATATTTCTTGTGGCTCTAACTTTTGAGGGTGTTATTGCAATTATTAAAACTTCGAATTGTTGTTTATAATATTCAAATTTTCAGTGGTCTGCTGTCAATTTCTAGATTTATTATGTGCTGATTATATGTTTTGAAATTTTAGGATTTTTAGGATATTTAACTTTTAAAGGAGTTTTTTTTATAATTTTTATAACTTTGAGGTTATTTTTTATAAGTTTTGAACTTTCAGGTGCCTGATGGTAATCCCTTGAATTCATCTTTGTTATTTACTAATTTTAAATTTTTAGAAATATTGTAATTATTAAAACTTCGAATTGTTGTTTATAATATTCAAATTTTTAGTGGTCTGCTGTCAATTTCTAGATTTATTATGTGCTGATTATATGTTTTGAAATTTCAGGATTTTTAGGATATTTAACTTTTAAAGGAGTTTTTTTAATATTTTTTTATAACTTTGAGGTTATTTTTTATAAGTTTTAAACTTTTAGGTGCCTGATGGTAATCCATTGAATTCATCTTTGTTATTTACAAATTTTAAATTTTTAGAATTTGAAGGAGTTTTTTTATAATTTTTATAACTTTGAGGTTATTTTTTTTATAAATTTTAAACTTTTAGGTGCCTAATGATAATCCCTTGAATTCATCTTTATTGTTTGCAAGTTTTAAAATTTTAAAATTTGAAGGAGTTTTTTATGAATTTTATAACTTTAAGGTTATTTTTTTTATAAAATTTAAACTTTCATGTGCCTAATGGTAATCCATTGGATTCATCTTTGTTGTTTGCAAGTTTCAAAATTTCAAAACTTCATGATGCTCTTTTATTATTTGAACTTTTGAGGTTGTTTCTATAAATTTTGAAACATTGAGGGTGTTAATTGCATATTTTAAATTCTTCAAATGACGATGTTAATTTTTAGATTTTATATTTTTTTATTATAATTTTTGAAACATCGAAATGTTTTGTGTAATTTTAAAATTTTTAGGGTGTTTTGTACATATTTTAAAACTTTTTGGGTTATTTTGTGATCCTTAATATATTATAACATGTTAGTTCTTTACCTTAACAAGCTAATATCATGAAGATGTTTCATGTATTTTATTAAACTTATTTTTTTAAAAATTGTTGAGATGTAGGTAATTTATATGGGATTAAGATAGGATATAATTATAATGAGGATAGATTAAGATTTAAATGAGATTAGCATAGAATATAATTATGATGAGGATAAATTAAGATTTATATAAAATATTTAAAATAGTGAAGTATAGTATTGATCATGGAAAACTTTTTCTGAATACTTTTAAAAGAAGTAGGATATACCGCATTATGGTATTAGTATATTATAGTTAGCATTGCTTTTATGTCAAGCATGGTATTATTTATTTTCAATTTACTGATTAGTAATATTATTTAGTAATCTTCATGTCAAGTCCAAGATAATGTAAAGGCCCAACACCAGGCCCAATTGGCCCAAAATTCTGCTAATTCCGTCCTGTGGGCTTACGACTGGATTCAGTGACATTTTTAATTATGGTATTAGTATATTATAGTTAGCATTCCTTTTATGTCAAGCATGGAATTATTATTTTAAATTTACTGATTGGGAATATTATTTAGTAATCTTCATGTCAAGTCCAAGATAATGTAAAGGCCCAACACCAGGCCTAATTGGCCCAAAATTGTGCTAATTCCGTCCTGTGGGCTTACGACTGGATTCAGTGACACTTTTAATTTACGAGGGTATCAAAATGCAAGGCATTTTCAAGTTACGGGTGGATTTTTCAATTTTATTTCATAGAATATTTATTTGTTTCATCCTATTGAATGGTTTTTGGCAAGACGAGAATGCACTTAGTTGAGTCCATGAACCAAAGAGAGAAGAATAATGAGCACAACGAATCCATCGAAACCCTTAATAATTTTTACCTTAGATCCTAAATCTCACCAAGCTATCTATGATTATGATTAGAGGTGGAAACGGACAAAATAATTGAATACTGTAGCATTTGTATCCATATTTGGCTATACGAATTTGTATTCAAATTCAAAATGAATAGTAGATGTGTATTCGAATTCAAATTCGATTAGTATTTGAATATTCGACAACTATTCGCGAATATTCGTTAATAGTTTTTATGTCATCTTTTGTGAATTATTTATTTCATATTCAGTATATATTTGATAAATATTCAATAAATATTCATTATCCTATTACAGTCTTATAAAGCAACCAAACATGATACAACTAATGAATATGGAACCTAGAGATATATGTAATATTCACAAATCAAAAACTACTTCTATGAGACTATATGTAATAAAAAATTTTAGGATACATAGAAAATATAGTAACTAAAATTGATTAGCTTAAAACTGTAATATGTAAACGAATAGTTTATTAAACAAACAAATTGAATATATATATATGATTAAATTTTATTTGTTTATGAACCGAATACTAAAAACTATTCGTTTATTGTTAAATGAACTATCAAATCGAATGTGACATAATACTTATGCGAGTAAATATCGAAGTATTTGTTGATTATTTAGTTCGTTTCCACTCCTAATTATGATGGATGAGCTCTCTCTCCCTTTGAGTCAACTATAGGTCATATGATACAATGGAGTCAGTTAATATGTTTCTTAGATCTTGAAATAAAAAATAAATATAAGATCTTTGGGGATTGTCAAAATCAACATCCAATCCATCAATATAACGGTCAAAACAATTGCAAACGTATATGATCAACCCGTATTAGAATACTTCATATACGGATCCAGATATTTCACTATACGTCTGTAACCACACCCAACAGCATGTCGATATTCGTAACTATATCCTAACAATTATAGCGTTACGGGATGAGTGGAAAACAATAAATAAAGCCATGCAGCCAGATTGATTCTAATAGCTATTGCCATTATACTATTGAATATAGTTTGGGCCCATGTAAGTGAATTATTATCATTATAGTTTTTGGAGTATTAGGCAAAGTCCAGGTGTACTAAATACCGGGCCTGATGTTGGGACCCAAACCAATGTGGGCTGTGTAAGGACTCTGCTGCGTGCAGAGGAACACACGAGCTGTAACATTTGTCCGTACAGCGAGGCACGGGCTAATTAGCTGTTGGTGTCGTAATTTTGTTTGTTGTACGCCCCCAATATATTTAGCTGGATATAATAACATAATTAAGATAAACGGGGCTGTTCATAAATGAGCTTAATTGAGTTCATCGCATTATAATATAAATTATGAAACTTGATTTTGGTCCGATGTGAAAGCTTGGTTACTGGAAGTCTGGTGTACGTGTCGGCAACCAAAGAGATCAATATAAGAGTAGGATAATCTAAAAGGCTAAATATCATGAAACACCCCCCCTCAACTTTGGATGATTATCAGAAAATCGCCCTTAAATTTAAAAAATATTAGAAAGCCCCCTTAAGTTTAGGGGTTATCAGAAAATCATCATTAACTTTGAGATTTTTATCAGAAAATCTCGCTAAAATCGGGGGTATTTAGGGAGATTTTCTGATAAAATCTCAAATTTAAATGGAATTTTCTCATAAAATCTGAAAGTTAAAGGAGATTTTGTGACAATCCTGATACTTTAAGGCGGTTTTCTAAAATTTTGAAAGTTAACGGGGGTTTTCCGATACTCATCCAAAGTTAAGGCGGGGTTTTATGATATTTAGCCTAATCGAAATGTCTGTGGAATAAAATAACGCACAATTAGTCCCGTATGGGGGCATCAATGATAACATTGTTTAGCCACAATTCAGGTATAATAAGTCCATAAGCAACAAAGGGGAGGGAGGTCTTACCGCTAAATCAGAGGAAAAGAATAAATGTACAATTGCACTCGCATATTTCAATTAAGCCTATCCACGGTAGGACTTTTAACGTACCTCGTCAAAGCGGCTGTTTGGCTTGTGTTTTATATCTTCAAGGATTTTGATGCATGTAACGGATTTTTTTTAAAAACTCCATGAATATTGGATAAGGCTAAATACATCAGACATTCCCCAAAGCCCACAATCAGGACCGGATTTAAGTTCGATAGGGGTGGGGGCAATTACGTTCATAATAATTTAAATTTTGCATTTTAATTTCTTCTAAATTTACAAATTTGCTCCCTGGTTTTGAAATATTTGCACCCTAGCATGCTTATCTGCCTTTATCTATTACATTACATGCAAAAGATAATGAAAAGAAGCAACTAAGGTGTATTGAGTTGCATTCCCAACTCCAATTTTGAACTTCCCAACTCCAATTTTGAACAAACAACCGCAAAACCCCACCAAATTCATCCAACAAAAAAAAAAAGATAATATTTAGAAAAAAATAAAATAAAAATAAAAAAATAAAATAAAATCCTTCCCCGATATACCACCAGGCTCATTTGAGTCGCATTTCCAGACTCAAACCCAACACCTCTACGTGGGCCCAACTACAAACCGGTAGATGCCACGTCACCGCCCCGCCAACTAAGCATCATCCTCCCGCGCGTGAACCCCTTTAAAGCCAGAGTCCCCACCACCAACCAACCGGACTACAAACCCACACCCTATAAATCCCCCTTCCCCCTCCCTCCCCTCCCTCCCCGTCCTCATCCTGCAAAAAAATACAAAAGATAGGGACCCATCAGCAAAATTCCCAAGGATCGAAAACAATACAGAGACCCCAGTTGAGTCCTTCGGATTAATTTTCCATGGAGAACTGGGAGAGACCCCTCCTTCTCCTCCTCCCTCCTCGACGCCATCGACCGCTCCATCGACGAATCTGACTCCGGTAGCCTCACCCGCGGAGCACCAGACTTCAGCAAAACCACTACAAAAACTCGATCACCGATCGATAGCCCGGTGACCACACTCAGCTACTACTCTTACTCCTCCGGCGCTGCTGACTCAGCAAGATTCACCCGGCCCAAACCGGTCCGAATCCAAACCAGAAAGAACCCGATCCGAATAGACCCGCTACCGCCGGAACCCTTAACCCTAGCCAAAAAACCCCCAGAAGAAGGCTCGCCGATTTCATTGAGATCCGAAAGTCGACGTCTGCCGATGCTGCTCCGGGCCAAATGCTCGCCGGATTGCCTCAACTCGCTCTTCACGGCGTCGAACCAAACAAGAAACCGAAGATCTCCGATCCCGTCGACGGAGTCTCGCTGCCGCCTCGCCCTCGCCGCGATCTGCTCGTCGTCGTGTCGTGCGTACTCCCGCGTCGCTGCTCAGCAAGACGCCGTCGACCCGAGGTTCTAAGAGGCCGGCGAGATCGGTGAGGTTTTCGCCAGTCGGAGTGATCGTCGGAGAGGACTGCCGGCCGTGCGGCGAGAAGGCCGTGTTCGACGGCGAGGAGGCGGCGGCGGAGGAGAGGAGGCGGAGGCGGCGGAGGGCGGTGGAGGAGATGATGAAGGGGTTTGAGGAGAGCGGAGATGAGAGCGACGGGAGTGATGATTTGTTTGAGCTCGAGAATTTGGGAGGGGTTAGCATTAATGGAGGGTTAGGGTTAGGGTTTAGGGATGAGCTGCCGGTTTTTGGGACGACGGATTTGGGGATGAATTGTGCAATTGCGAAAGGGCTTGTTGTGTAAAAAAGTTGAATGTTTGCGTGTTAACTTGTTAGAGTTGATGAGTTTTTATTAAGTTTTTGCTGGGATATTGGGCCCTGCTGGTTTAGTGGGTATGAAATGCGAAAGAAAAAAAAGAGAGTTGTATTTGTTGAATGATTGGCTATGAAATTTGGATTTCATTGTTCAAATCAAATATAATTATCTATTGGAAAAAAAAGTGTACAAGGTTCATTCTGCTAAATGAACAATCGAAGATGGCTAAATTATGCGACGTGCTTTCTCAATAGCATCACACAGTTAAGAAAGACATTGATGGATGGAAAAATTGCTTCAAGGCCCCAAAATTAAAAACTTGATTTGTCCCAGCCTCTCTATACTTTTTCTAATGTGTATTAGCCCTAAAAATAATTTTTTTTGTGATTCAGTCCTTATTACAATTTTCAAGAAAATAAAGTCGGAAAAAACCCTAAAATACCCCTCTTCTTCTCCAGATCTTCTCCTTCTTCCTCCTCTCTCTCATATCTCTCTCACTCTCACTCTCATTTCTAGTACGACAAAATGATGGCCCCCTTCGACTCCTGGTCCCCAAACGACGACGAAACAATGGAAACCCTAACTCTAACGGATTATATGGAACTGCTCGCCATGATGTTCGGAGAACCTGATATGAGCTTGGAGAACATGGATATTCTGGAGGTCGTCGCGATGAGGGGGATCAAATTCGATCCTCCTCGTTGGCATTGCCATGGTGGCTATGAGCGAAAGGTACAATTTTTATTTATTTTTTGAGCAAAAGATGCAATGTTTATCTCTATTTTTGCATTCTAGGAACGAATTCCCCCCGCCCCCCCCCCCTCACGCCTTTTCTTTTGCTGATGATTTTTTTGCTTTGGTTTTCTGTGAATAAGCGAAAGGGCGAACATGGTGCTTGACGAAATGCTTCGGTTGAGAAAAAAAGTTTCATGTTAAGGTGAGAAGTTGTCTTGTGTAAATATGAGTATGAGTGGCTATATGTTTGATAAAATGGCTCAAAAAACTTGACCTTTTGATGTAATATGGAGTTTGGACATGTATTGTGGCTTTGTTTTTATGTAGTGTTAAGCTTTTGGAGTCTGGTGAGCTATTGAACTCTTTGTTTGCTCAATTGATGAGTTTTTGGACATGTATTGTGGCTCAAAAAACTCGACTTTTTACTTGACGACATTGCCGACGGCTCCGTCGCCGTTCTTAGCGATGTCGACGAATGTTAATTTTAGGTTGGGGGTCACGATTGCTGACTAGAGAGAGCGTTGAAGCGTTTGGCGCGTGGTGACGTGTCGGTGGAGATTGTGTTTATTACTGATATATAAATAAGTTTTATTAGAAGAAATTAAGAAATCGAGAGTGGAGAGTTTATTAGTTTCTCCTCCTCTGGACTATGTGAAATGTTTATGAATGTGCAAAGTGTAGATTTGCTTAATGTATGTTTAGTATTTGTACTGATTGGATCAGTCATCATTGTACAAGTATATAAAGAAGATATGTTATCTGTTATGTCATCGGAAACATGTTAACTTTCTTTGTTCGCTTGTTAAGTTACATTGATAACATGTTAACTTTCTTTGTTCATTTGTTAACTTACACCGATAACATATTAACTTTCGCAGGTTGCTTGTTAAGTTACACTAATAACATGTTCACTATTGTAGTTCGCTTGTTAAGTTACACTGATAACATGTTCACTATTGTAGTTCGCTTGTTAAGTTACACTGATAACATGTTAACTTTGATAGTTTGCTTATTAAGTTACACTGATAACATGTTAACTTTGGATGCTAAATTGATAACTATATTTAGTAAATTGTTAACTATAATCATTATATGTTAATTATTATTTGTAATCTGTTAACGGACACCCTTATCCTGATAACATGTTAGTTTTTACATTTAACATGCATTCATATTATAGTTAACATGTAAGCTGTGGTAGTTATCAGTTTATATATAATAGTTAACATGTTAACTATCATAGCTTACATGTTAACTATGTAAACATTTGGATTAAACCTGTTTATATATAAACTGATAACTATCACAACTTACATGTTAATTATGTTAATTATTATATATAAACAGATTGAGCAACATGTTAATATAATCCGTTAACATGTTAAATGAGAATTATGTTAACCTTAATTAGTAAATTGATAACTATATTAACGTGTTAACAGATTATACTTTATATGAAACAACTAAAGGTTAATAGTTAATCAGCTATATTTCACATGTACAACACAAAACTTAACATTTAAAAGAATAATAGTTAATCAGCTATATTTCACATGTACAACACAAAACTTAACATTTAAAAGAATAAAGATAACAATTACTCAATTATACTTATATGGAATAAAAGAATAAAGATAACAATTACTCAATTATACTTATATGGAACAACTCCTAATTAACAGTTAATCGGTTATAGTTCATATGTACTAGGTAAAACTTAAGAGTTAATTAACAAAACTTAACATTTTAAAGAAAAAAGTTAATAGTCAATGTACTAAACTTAACAGTCTATGTACTAAACGTAACATTTAAAAGAAAAAAATTAACAGTTATGCAATTATACTTTACATTGAACGCTAAAGGTTAACATCTAATCTGCTATAGTTCACATGTTTTAGGTAAAACTTAACAGCTAAAGGTTAACAAGAAGCACGAATAAAGCTCTAGCTTCCAGACATAAAGAGAGAACAAGTTTTTGATCCTCTTGTGATTCAACCATCATAAACACAAAAGTTATTTTTGGTTTACTAATACTCGTTGCTATACCATACATTATTCACCCATGAACTAGAACAGAGCAGCAGGACTCAACACAAACTAAAAAGACTAAACAAGTACTCGACCCAAAACCATCCTAAAAAAAACCAAAATCTTAATCAACCTCCTCAGTTTTAGGCCCAGAACCGCCACCGCCGCTACCACCTACACTACTGCCAGAAGAACCACCGCTATTAATCCCTGCGCTATCAGCTCCTCTACCACCCTGATACATCTTCGTGATTAACGGCCCGCAGATCTCCTCCAACTCCTTCTGCTTGTGCTCGAACTCCTCCACCTTCGCCAACTGGTTCCTCTCCAGCCACCCGATCGCCTCCTCCACGGCCTTCTCGATCCTCCCCCGATCCCCCATCCCCTCCCCCATTCAACCCATTCACCATCGCTGACCTAATGGCCGCCACCTCTGCGTCAAACTCAACCCCGGTCCCCGTCATCTAAGATCAACCTCCCCCAAAATCCCCCTAACAGCAGTGAGATCCCCCTTTGCGCCGCAAAATGGAGCTCTGTGTCGTTGTGCTGGCCGATGACCTACTTGGACGGGAGAAAAGAACATGTGGTTTTTGGGAGGAAGGAGACAGCGGAGGAGAGAGCAGCGGTTGCGACGAGGAAGGAGGGTGGAAGGAGACGGAGGAGGAAGAAGAAGTGTGATTTTGGGGGAGATGACAGTAATTTTGGGGAGAGGTAAAATTGGGTTTTTGGGAAAACATGAGCTGTAGTCATGATGGAGGGGCTTGAGAAACTTTTTTTAAAATTTTGGGGCTACAACACATTACAAATAATTGAAGGGGCTGGGGCACATGACTTTTTGGGTTTTGGGGCCTTGAAGCAATTTTTCCTTGATGGATTTCCATCATGGACAAAGAGAAGAGCACATAATTAAAAATGTAAAACATGAAAGTGTATTTCTATTTCTGATTGAAACTTGGTAAAGCTCAAGACCCAAGCTCACTTGAGGAAGGAGTCACATAAAAGAGGCATCCAATTTTGAATTTCCCTTGAGAATTCTCCAGAATAAAGGGCTATATTTTAAATTCCAGACCTCATGAGTCATGTACTCCATGATATATTATATGTCAAACTTGCATTATTTTTTTATAACATAACATCACACTTATGAGGAATAGCTCAGTAGGTCACATGTGAAAGCTAATTAAGTCATTCCACTGTGCAGAAGTCAAGGTTCGATTGCCATGCAGCGAAAGACGTATTTGTTATGATTGTTGGTAATGATATTATGTATCCAAAGACCTATTTTTCTAAAAAAAAAAACATCACACCCATGAGTGGGATTGGGTACTTAATCAGAGGATTGTTCCATACCAAAGGAAGACCAATCATTAGTGCATTAATGTCAATACAATATTACATCTTTTTGGTTTAGATTGTATCACCCTAATTACCTGTTATTCCTAACCAAAGGAATATCTAATCATTAGTATTAATACAATAATACATCTTTTATTTTGATAGTACCGGCCTCACACCTGTTATAGTTACTAACTTAACTTTTCGAATTTATTAATGATGATTTTTTTTTCCAGCTTTGAGACAAAGTTGGGAAGTTCCAGTCAAAAAAAGAGGTTGTGCCTAAAACTAATAAGATTAAATCATATGATCTCATCTGAAAAAGGTCATGTAATCTAAGTGCATTTGATGATTATGCTCTCTTTTACACCTTTCCATAAAACCAACTTTATAAAAATAAATTGTGGTATATTTTCCTAGAGAAGAGTCCAAATTAGTTGTTGCTCTTATCTGAACCAATATCTTGCTTAACAAACAATGTAATATGATTAATATCTTTGTCCAATAATATAAAGTTTCATTGTCAATAAGCATCTAACAACCAACAAGTTTATAAATGTTAATTGTACTCTCCGAGCCACTTCCCTTCCACTCCCTTCTCTTGTAACCTTAGGGACAATTCAAGATGTATGAAATGCCATTTAATTAGGATTTTGATTGGGTGTAAATAGAACAGTACAATTTGAGGTGGACATAAATTTGAGTTTGATGGCAACATGGACACCCTTGAGCACAAACTAGGTGAATAGGTCATCATATTACCACCATGTGATCCTGCCATGCAATTTTTGTTATGGATTAATTGGCCAAGTACGATTCAAACTTGTAGCTTTGATATCATTTACAAGTCTATGTTGTAGGCATAAAAAATTGCCTATAAGGTCCTGACCGTAGCTCAAGATTGTAGGGTCGAAAATTATATGATTGATCGATTTC